CCCGCCCTCAGCCGCGTCCCCCTGGGGCAGCGGCCGCTCGGATCCCGCTCCCGGCCCCGCGCCCGCCTGCGGCCTCTCCGGGCTTCCCTGTGCCATGGGGTTCCCGTTGCGCGGGAGCAGCTCGGCCTGCCTGCCTTTCCGCTGGGAGACGGACACCTGATGGCTGGGGGAGTCTGAACTCACAGGTGGTTACCGTGCTCGCAAGATGCGGTGGTGGGAGATGCCCTTATGTGGCAAGTAGATGGGATTTCTTCATTCTAAAACTTGGTAAAATGCCTTGATAATAAGTTAGAACACAGGAGGCAGGGAATCCCAGAGTAACAGCAAACATTGAAATGTGAGGCCTTGGGTGGTCATGAGAGTTGGGAATAGGGGAAACACTTTCTTCTTCTGTTTAACCCGAGGTGGTTTCTGTGCTTCATTCATTAATTAGGAGACTAGACGTGCTAATTGTCCTAGTAGTTGGAATTTTCCTTTCTTATTTACAAATGTGCAGGGGAAGACTTCCAACTTTCTTCCAAATAGATTTGAATGTAAATGCATTGTGTGGGAATGTTACTTATTTTCCCCTCAACCAGTTCAAAAAGTGATTTTTTTAAATGGAGACTTTACGTTGTATTAAATTTATAAATGCTCATACTAACTTGTCTCACGAATTGCATCCACATGGGAAGTGTGTTTAGCTACAACAGCAATAAATATGACATAAACAATGTTGCTACAGTGTGTTCCCTTTTCAGTTTAGAGCATGAAGAAACATTTTCCTCTACCAATGCTCTTGATTTTGTAGGAGTGATATGGTTTTTGCCTTAGAGTCTAATTCTAGTCAAAGTTGTCTAAATTGCTTTATTTGTGGTTATGGAGTTTGTCAGCAGTGCCATTAGCACATTTTTGCAGAAGCTCTTTAGTGTAAGCAAAACTTCATTGAAATCAATATTTCCTGTGTGTTTTGCTGTTTTTCTACTGGTGAGCAACAGGGCTCACACCACGCGTGTAAACTGAGGTCTGCTCCCTTTGGGAGCTAAAACAAGTTGTAAAAATGTTTGTTTCATAGTCTGAAATAATGTTGCAGTTTAAAATTAATCTTAGTGCTTTTTTTGCATTGCAGGTAATTTAAGTGGCTACCTAGCATGGACACTGTTGCTAGCCATAGCTGTCATCTTCTCCAGCAGCTACATGAACAGCGCATTCAGGGGCTGCTCTGTGACTGCATGCTGGTGGTAAAAGGTGTCTGCTTCAAAGCACACAAGAATGTGTTAGCTGCTTTCAGTCAGTATTTCAGGTACGTGATAGAAGTTTCTTCTTTTAAAAAGCTGAGCTAAATGCTATGAGTTGAGGTTTTTTTTGAGAAGTGTATATATTTTATGGTAATTGCATACTAAGTATCTGTTGGAGTGTAAGGGGAGAAGTTAAATCTAACTTTTTGACCAGAGAGAAATCTGTATCAAGTATTTAACCTAAGTAAATACTGTCACCATCCTATGTGACTTTTTGGTGCACTGCCGCACTGTTTGAGTTTGGCATTTCCTTGATCCTTGTGTGCTTATGATGCCACATGTGACAGATTCTGGCATGGACCTGCATTCAGTATTTCAGTATGGGAAGTTAACTCTTTGCAAGGAGCCTAGTAGACTGCATGAACAAAGATAAGACAGGAATTTTTTCATCTATTATATTATCCATTTCCAGATAATGCAAATTGTTTCATCAGTTATATATTAAAATAAAAATTGACTTTATTGGTTATTATTGAATCTGTTTAGAATAGATTCTCAGACATAATCTACGTTTGTATACAGGTGACCCATTAAGCCACATCACTGGTTTCTTTCCCCTCTGTGTAGCCCTCATTGATTCTGCAAATTTTGGGGGATGTTGGATCTCCCAGCTTAGTGTTTTACATGTGTTCTGAGTAAGCTATTAGATCTGGCACTTTTTAGACACCTTATTTCTTGAAACATCTGTGAAGCTTGACTACCAGTTCTTAGGCAAGAAAATTATTTGTATCATGCAACCAATACAAAAGGTTGTTTTCTCTTCTAGCATTTTAATCCTGATGAAGAAGTGAAATTATGCTCAAAGACTGAGGTTTTTAAAGTAGTTAAAAAGTACTAAGCACGCACCTCTTATGAAATTCAGTAAGTTACTAATTAATTTAGACTCTCAAACCAGATCTGTTCATTATAGTTCTGGTTTTAATTCAGTTAGTGTGGGCTGGATTTATGAAAGAATTTGGTTGTGGGCACTGGCTTCAGAGTGGCATGTAAGTAAGAGAACAGGACAACTTAAGTATCTGAAGCTCTGCTTTAAGTCTAGACTCTCATTCACTTAAGATTCAGAACTCACTGGTACTGTGCTCACCTTTAAACAAAACCCAATTCGAGAATTAACCCGTGGAGAGGAATCATCAAATTCAGGGCATTGCCTAGTGCATGAAAATATCTACACAGGAATTACCTGACCCCATTTATAGATCATCATTTCCTGTGAGAGTATCAGGTTAGAGACTGGGGTTTTAATGGAGGAATGTGAAATTCCTGACTGAGGCAGAGTGTGAACCCCCATAGTCTAGGGCTGATTCTGCATATGAAGAACTACAGGTCTGGTGCTAAGAATACATCAAATAGTAAGAAGTCTTAGGAATTCATACACTTTAAGGATTCAGTGGCAACTCAGCGGGCATACTGCTGTTTTAGGTTAATGCACCTATACTCTTCATTATTCTTTTACTTGATTCTCATTCAGTACTGGTAAAAAAGATAATTTTTGCATATGAGAGATTATAGATTGAAAATAATGCCATGCTCTTGTTTGCTGTTACCATCCTATCATCTACTTGCTGAGAACTAGTAAGAAAAATTTATTAAGTTTTATGAACAAGCTCAGTTGCCATCAGAAGACAACCAGAAGAGGTTGTCTTCTGCTTTTTACTAGAAAATTTTTCAAGTCCTGTTTTATTTGCTGTGATGGAAAGAGAAACACTTTTCTGAGTCAACCAACTTTTGCACATAGTCCATAAATACACTACTGCACCTAATATGTAGAGAGCATTGGATAGGAAACCACAAGCAGAGGGTGTGATTTCAAAACGTTAAAAAATATATAATTTGAGTCATATAGATCATTTTCTTTTATGTATACTGTGAGTGTACTAGTGTAGGACTGATATATAAGACAAGTAGTGTAACAGTTCTGAGACAATTATCTGCCAAAACAAAGCAATCTAGCTGAGACCATATAGTGTAAATTGCTGTTTCATACAGACAAGCAGTCTGTATGAGGTGTAGTGTGTTGTTTTTTTTATGAAATAGTTTGTGAATTATTTGTGTTTGAATATCTGCCTTATTTTATCAGGACCCTTTTCCAGAATTCTTCAGGCCAGAAGAATGATGTCTTTCACTTGGACATTAAGAATGTAGGTGGAATAGGTCAGATCTTGGATTTCATGTACACCTCTCACCTGGATCTTAGCCAGGACAATGTACAAGCAATGCTGGATATTGCTCAGTGTCTCCAAGTGCAAAATGTGCTGAACATCTGCCACACCTTTTTAAAATCTTCCACAGCAGCAGAGCAGCCAGCCAGCATGCCTTGTAATAGCGTCTTTTCGCTGCAGGATCCCTTGGCTGCAGACACTGGCTGTGCCAGTGACAGCTACGGACCAGGCCTGTTGAAGGAATGCTCTTCTGACACACAAACTAGTAAGGTCTTGGCAGACCATCATCCTCATGCATCGCAGTCTGTTAATCTTCACGCACCCTCAGGGGATGTACCGAAGCAACCACAAGCCTTGGATGGCAGCTGTGCAGAGCTTCCCTTTAAACAACCAAATTGCTATTATAAACTGCGCAACTTCTACAGCAAACAGTTCTATAAGCAAAATGCTTGCACTCCTCATGAGAGAGTATCAGAACAACCCTTTTCTTACAACACGCCTGCAGAAATAAACACAGTAGAGAATAATTCTTGTACTGTCAATCACTCTGAGTGTGTTCTGGAAACTTCTGATCATTTACCATCCAACTTTCTTGTTCAGCCCATGAATGAAGCTGCTCCAGAGCAGGATGCAGAAGGCACACTGATGCAGCCCACCAAACAGATGCGGCTGAAAAAGGCAATACACCTCCAAAAGTTAAACTTTCTAAGATCTCAGAAATCTGCAGAGCAGCCACCTGAGCCTAAGAGAGATGACAGTAGAGTAACAGGAGTAATTGATTCTGTAAATGAAAGTACTGTGGACATTACAAATGTTAGAGTTACTGAAGAGAAAGAAGCTGAAGATTTAGTGAATTCTGAGAACTTTGATCAAACTCTTGAAACAGAAAGATCTCAAGGTCATTTGGAACAAGAGGGACAATCACAGACTCTGCAGTCACAGAGGCAATATACTTGTGAATTATGTGGGAAGGCTTTCAAACATCCAAGCAATTTGGAGCTCCACAAAAGGTCTCATACAGGTACAGTTATGAATAACTTGGTCTGCAGACCAAATATTTCAATTAAAAAGGATTGATTCAGAGATGCTGGTTAGGGGTCTACTTTCAAAAGGTTGTGGTTTCATTTTTTTAAAAAATCAGAAATCATACTGTAAGACTGAGTTTAGCTATGAGTTGTAGTAAAGATTTCTCCTTTGTGTTTTTTTACGGTTCTTTTCCAAAGAACAGTGTGTAATATTTCAATGAAAATCTTGGTTTTGTCTGGCATTTACAAGAGGCATTTCTGATCAGTTTGTCAGATTGCACAGAGTCCAAGTCAGGTTAACAATGAAAGGTGTAGATGGGTAGAAGACAGTACAAGTGTTCTAGATGACCTCAGTTCTCTCTGATCATATATTAATTGTAAGATACAAGTGATAAGGGCTTGGTGGTAATTTCTTTCTAACCTGTAGAAATAAGCTTTATAATTAGTTTTACTTTCCTAGTGTGAACAACTTTCATTGCATTTACCTAGACAGTAATTTGTTTGCAGACAAGGAGGCTGCAAAGTGAATGGGAATCTTGAATTTATTTCCTTTGTTTTAAAAACTCATGGGTAATACTATTTTCAAATCTAGGATAGATTTATTTCTAAGTTGTTGTTGTTTTTTTATTCTAGTGAAAAACAAGACCTAGTCTAACTTTGAGTTAACTAATTTGTCTGTTCAATTTAACCAGGATGTTCTATTATGTTTTTACAACTTTAGATACATTTTTTAAAGGGTTTTTAAGAACTGCCTTAGCTAGTCAAGTAATATCATTGATTCCAAGTCCTTGAGGTGGTATCATTCCTGATGAAGCTGTTGAATATAATTTGCCTTTCTTTTTTCTCTGTATTAAATATACAGCTGCATCTCTTTCAATCTTGACAAATAAGCATCACTTTGCAAAAGAGCACACATGTTGGTACTTTGACAGTAAAGGTGAATGCCTTTTAGCAGACATTAATTTATTTTGTTAACTGATCCTTAGTATTAAGAATTTATTTTTCCATATTATTAGTAGAAAAATCTTTCCAGAACCTGAAAATATGAACATTTTGCTTCCTGAAGTTTTCACTTGCTATCGTCATCGAGTACTTCTGTTTATGCACATTACTAATATAATTTTTTTTAAGTTAGGTCTCCTGTGGGAGAGTTGTGTGTTTCTGTTACCCAGATCATGTCTTTGCCTTGTATTTTTTGTAATCTATTACTCGATTTGAGCTGACAGCATAACGTACATTTTAATGTCTTTGAAATTTCAGGAAAATAGGTGATTGTATAGAAGCTTGTAGAGAAGTCCCAGCTGAGGGAGAGACTGAAGTTGGTTACGGGAGTTTGTGCTAGAGTATCTATGTGAAGGCGAGACTCACAACTATGAGAAACCTGTTAGAATGTACTCCTCCTTAGACACCTCAGTCACTGGGAGGAATTTGGATTTTAGGAACTCTGGTGCCCACTAAACTACTTGTCTTTTTTTAAGAGTGTGTTGCCCAAGTGATAGACTTATTTATTGTATGTTTCTGAATCTGCTAAATCATTTAAAACATAAGGTTCAAAGTTTAGTTTGCCTCTTCTAATGTATTGTAACTTAATGCTCGGGGGAGTATGTTGAGTACTAGACTTTATAGAAGAAAGATAATATAGATAGCCAGATAGCCCCTCATACAAGTGTTTTACAAATTATTTTTTTCTTAGACACAGTGTAACCAGCAAATGCTTACAAGTGTAAAAAATGGAAAAAGAGGGAAAGGGTTGCAGTATCTTTGCAGGGTTATTATATGTGTTGCAATTAATTTGTTCTTATTTGAGGTCTGTGTATTTACACTTGCTTCCATTCCACTTAAACTCTGGTAGATGCTCTTTCACAGTGCACAACACTGCCTGATATGATCTAGCTTGCCACATTGTGTAAGAAAAGTGATCCTAGACTTGGTCTTGTGATTGTTGCTGTCCCTTTACTAGTCTTAGTATACATTGGATTCAGGAATTTCATGCTGATTTTCATGCACTATGTTTTTCTGGTAGCTTTAAAAAAAAATCCAGACTTGAATGCCACTTAATGTGGCATTAATGTTCTTCTATAGATATGCTAAACTGACAAATTTAACAAATAATAAGGACATCAAAGAAGGATAGAAAAGCTGAGGCAAGTATATGACTAGATAAGCCTGTTTCCTTGTCTGTCGTTTTTATTCATGTTAATTTTGTTTTAGAAATCCACTTCGTGCATAAAGAGTACTTGGAAAATAGCAGTGGATAGTGTTATTATAGGAAGGATCTGTGGCTGAAGCTACAGGACACATCTATCATAATATTAAGTATACTGATAAGTAATGTAAGTGTATACTGAAAGCCATTTCCATTCACCTCCCATTTCAGAAAGCATAGCAAATTGCTAGCTAATAAATTCCATTTTAAAGCATTCATTTTCTAGAACTGATCAGAAGGGTTAGCAAGCATTTAAGTATTACAGTGCTTACTGAAAGTCCCACACATCTGGCTTTACTGAGATGAAGGAAGCAAGTCATTAAAATGTACCTTTCACACTGACAGTTTTAATCCACAAATGACAGCTCTTTCAACACAAGTCTTTGGTGGCCTGATTGTCAAGAAAAAGCACATTAAATTCTCTATCCTTGAATATTAGGAACTACCAAAGAATGTACAGGTTAATATGGTTGCACTGATGACTTGTCTGTGGTGTGAAGGACAGGTATACTGTGTTCAACACAAGTCATTGTGTTAGGCTATCTAGCTCTTTTCATTGTATTGCTAGCAGATACTTAAACAAATCTCTAAACAGCTTATTACACTGATTTTGATTGATTTTGACTTGACTGAATGTTATATTATTCTTTGTTATATTGACCTGTCTGAAAAAAAGGAAGCAAGTATATCTCTCTTATACAGGCCTTACTTGTCTAGGAGCATCCAGTGTTTTGGTTTGTTGGGGTTTTTTTAATGTTTTAAGGAAACATTGCAAAACAACCCAACCCTGTGGAAAGCACTCTTGGCAGGATACAATGCAACAGGAGAAGTGTTACACTGTCATGCAATACACCATTGCTCTTCACCCTTTTCATTCTGAGCTTTGCATAAGCAAGTTGCCAACCTTTGCGCCTTAGTGGGTCCTGCTTCTCACCTTTGTGATCTCTACAAGAGCAGCACTCCTGCCTTCATGGCCTTTCTTCTCTGGAGCTGGTACACCACTGTTTTGATCCCACTACTGTGTTCTTCATTTCTTCTTGCAGAATGTTGAACAAGAAGAATGTAACAAAAGATAGAAAACGCAGAACAGTCCAAGAGTTCAAAAGTAAAGTCTGCTGGGTGTTTGTTTAAGCATTGTGTTAATTGTAGTTCAGTTACTGCTTTCCCAAAATTTTCTCTATTGCTGTTGATTGCAGTAATATTTGAGAATATTAGTATTCTTGGATAAGGTTTTTGGTTTGGAATTTAATGAGAGTCATAGAATCGTATAATAGTGTAGATTAGAAAGGACCTCTGGAAGTCCAGTCACTCTACTTTCAAGAACAACCTGGTTGCATCTGTCTTCCCATGACATGTAGACAGCAGTAAGATTTCCTGTTTGCCCTCTCTTCTTGAGGCTCCAGATACAGTCTCACCAGTGATAGGCAGAGAGGAATCATCTTCAGCTTGGTAGTTGCACTCTTACTTGCACTCTTTGGAAAGCAATTAGCCTCACCGTACTCACCTCGAGTAATTTAGTATTTCTGCTAGAATTCCTTTTCAGAATAGGCTACTTGATATGCCTGGTGGTTTGGAGTTTTATGCAGGTGCAGAATTCTTCTCCAAAAACTAAATTGATGTTTCTTTTCAATCAAAGCTTTTTTTAAAAAATGTTTATCATGGAAAAAAAAATAAATCCTTATTGTACATCAGTACAGCTGTAATAAGGCTGCATGCAGCCTGCAACAAAAGTTTTGAGAAATTTGAGCTTCTTATTCCCTCTCTCTCACTATAGTTATCTCAGGGTGGATTTCTGTTCAGGTAACAGTCTTTGTGTCAATAGTACCTTATTTTTTGATGTAGGTAATTTCTGCAGAAATTGCTACTAGTGTTTTTTTATCTTCCATTTCAAATTACCTTGATGCTATTACAGCTGTTGGAAGCCTTCCCAGTTGCCACAGATCCAGCAATCTGTGGAACCCTGTTGATTTCATTTATATTTGCATTGTGAATACCAGAATTTTTAGTGTTCTGCAAATTTCATTAGTTACTCATGAAAATATCATTAGAAGTCTGACTGTCATGAGATTCAGAGGCATTTAAACTTTATTGTTTTAGAAGTTCTGGAAGATTAAGAGATTTTTATCAACAGTGTGAAAACTAGGAAACCAAGAACTATGCAGGGTAAAAAATTACCTTTATGAAGTACTGTAGAGGAGAAAAAGTGATTAGGAGAAGGTATTTGTCTCAAATTGACAGCTGGAGAGTTGAAGCATTGTGCAGTTATATTCTGTATTGAGAGTCAAGTTATTTTGAAAAGCTGAAGGGGGCTGCACTACATTTTTACTAAAGCTGCTGATATGTTTTTGGAGAACAATACCAGGTTTATATGTATAAATTGAGAATTTTGGAGCAAAATATTTGGGTTAATTATCAGATACTCCTATATAGGATGAGAATTTGAGGGCAAGTATCTGTTTGCTGGAATTGGATGGTTGCATGCTGATCAGAGATGGATGGTACACATTGAACAGAGAAAGGAGAATCCTTCTGAATTAGCTACCCTGCATTCCTTATTTTTAAGAGTGGGCCTTTGTGTGTATAAGTGGATAACTGGTGCACTTCCCGTAGCTCCTGCTGTGCAACCTTTTGGTCTAGTTTGTTCTTCCCGGAGGTATGGTACCCCTTTCATTTGAAAAAAAATACAATTATTTAAAAAACAAACCTAAACATTCCAAATTATATAAAACCTCTTTTATCTACTTGTTTTGAAAGATAAATAAGTCTGCCTCACAAGGTTAATGGTGAATGCTGTACTCCTTGCCTCACAAGGTTAATGGTGAATGCTGTACTTCCCTCTTTCATTTCCCCTTATTTATGTGGCTAAGTGTCCTTTTGGGAATATTTTTACTCTTACATGTTTTAGAAGGAAGCATACAAAATAAAACATTTGTATTTTATTGCAACTATTAGAAGTTCTATGTTCTGTTTCTTCTCCTTTTAGGTGAGAAACCTTTTGAATGTAACATTTGTGGGAAACACTTCTCACAGGTGGGAATATTTTATATTATGGTACTTAAACTTGAAATGCAACTGTGTGTTGATTCTAAAAATGTGTTATGTATTTTACCTTAAAATGAATATTTCACTATAAAGAGGCATAACTCTCTTTGAAACAGGACATTGATTCTCAGGCTGTGCTTTTCCCTTATGCTTAGGAATAAGATGTGAATAGCATTTTTACAGTGTCTGAAAAAAAAGACAGGTTAGAATTTTCTACAATAATGTATTCACTATGCAGTTTCGTCTTCCTAAATGGCATAAGCTTTTTTTTTTAGTGTTTTCTTTTATGAAGAACAACAACACAGTCTGTCTGAAGTGACAAAACTCAACTATGATTTAATAAAAACAAACCACCCTCTATGTGAAATTCTCTACTTAAATACAGGCCCTAAGCTTCAGGTGTCTTAATTTGCCTACCAATGCTTACTTACTGATCTGGGTACAACAATACAGTAATTCATTTGTATTTCTACAACTCTGATGCCTAGTTGTCTCACATTTCCAAGATGTCTCTTGGTGGTATTGTGTGCCATTATTGTGGGGGAAAAGGGAATAAAAAAGCTTAATGCAGAGTGTATGACAGACATGACAGACTCCTCATGCAACATGCATTGCTCCTCTTAACTAAAAACAAACAAACAGAAACCCCAACAAAACTGGAGATTTCTGCCTTTCAGTTAGACACTCCTAAACACCTCCCATCCTCTTACCATTGCCTCACTTACCTGGAGGTATAGGTAGATACATATTGATGGACAATACCTACATGTCCAGAACATGTGCTATAGCATTCAGCTTGTGTGTGTGCTGCAGTTCTTTGGTCATAAAAGGGAACTTGCAAACTTCTGAGGGTAGTTGCTTTTGAATCCTGCAAATAAGTAAGACTCCACCTACCAGAACATAAGATGCAAGAATAATTAGAATCTAGTTTTTGCTTAAAAGACCATCTCTGATCTTGTTCTTGAACTTTTCAATCTGCAGGCACAGGCATAGTAACACTTTTCTTCTAAGCCTTCATTTTTCTGTGCTTTTGAGACTGTTCTATTCTTGTGCCTGGTAGTATGTCTGCTTCTGCTGAATGTAACTGATGTCCCATGTGCTGAAATGTGAAACAGCCCATGAAGAATGTAGCGAAAATAGACATAGGAACTCATGGTCTGGAAAAAAAAATACCACAAATTTCTTTAATTGTTGGAGAAAAAGGTTCCTTTTGTACTTCCAAGCCTGCGTCTTCCCTTACTAGCAGTACACACACAGCCTGTCGCAATGTGGTCCTGTTCTGGCTGGTAGTCCAGGATATGATGTTTTACCATGTTTTACCTTCTTATTATCTCCTTCTTTTTGGGAACATACACATTAGTTCCTTCACTTTAAAAGTATGCCAGTTACAAATGGACTAAGTGCAGAATATCTCTCTTGTCTCCACAATTATAAGGAGTAGTTTGCAACCACTAAGAGGAGTCTTCTGAGCGCTGTTTTCAGTCGCTGAAATGTTAGCAAAAATCCTCTTATGCTTTTTCATTGGGATGGCATGTTATGCCTTAACCAAGGGTGTATGCCACCTTAAAAGCTTAGAGTACAAGGTACTGATGTTTTTACCATTTTTGGTCTTGGCACAGTTAGTAACAAGCTTTTGCCCTCATTAGGGGTAAGCAACATAGGCTCATAATAAAGAAATGGATTTGCTTGCTACTCTTGGTAAAATGTTGTTATTCTGGACTAGAATTGCCTGCATGGAAACTGTTTCAGAATAATTTTTGCACTTCAAATTCTCTCTGTCTTTATCCAGAAAAACTTTCAAATGCCTATGATATAGTTTGTTTTGTTGCATGGATAGAGGTAAAGGTCTTTTGTATGTTTCTCTCAAATGCACCTCCTGGATAAAATCCCTTGTCTTTGCAAAGCACAGATTGCTCCATGGAGAAGTCAGTTCATTATCTCCTTCTTCAAAATTAGGTGCCTAATGTCTGTCTGAATGCATTTCAGTATTATAAAGTTTGGCCTGAGAGAACAGTGGTTCAGCCATGCAGTTGTCGGAAAAACTTTGTAGGAGTTAAAGAAAACTTTCTCTGGGTTCAAACAGTGATCCACTTAATATTGTCCTTTGTGACTGTGTGTGCAGTAGTATTTTAGTTCTGGTATGTTATAAGCTCTGATAACAGTGGTTGAGCATCACAAGTAATTCAGTATCTAAAGGAGTTGGAAGAAATTACTGACTGGTCATATTTTTGTTGTCTTACTGTGACTAAGGAGGACATGATAATCTCTGCATCCCAAATTTTCTTTCCTGATTTAAAAGACTTAATGTTCCTGTAGTTTACTTGGATAAAACCAGGCAGCTACTCATCAAAGAGAATGGAAGGGTAAAAACCTGACCATGGAAGTATGCATAATGTATGGAGCAGCTGCAGCTCTTCTATCCAGGCTATCTTGTACTTTGAGAACTGGACTCTCAGTGGGTTAGTCGTTCAAAAGCAGCAGTGGCTTAAAAAAAATAAATTAAGAAGTTGGAATGAATATTACGTTTTTGTCTAGTTATTATGTGGTTTGCCTGCTAGACTAGCATGATTTTTAAAGGATTGGAAGAAAAAAAAAATATAATAAATATGAATTACCATTCATCCCATTTGTTTATTTCTGTACTTCCTGTTCTGTTTTCTTTTGATGTGAGTAATTGATAGGTTGGAACACTTGGATCTGAGTTATCAGTCCATAAAATAATGTTTACCCTATGCTTTTTAACCTTCTGTTAGGTTAAGTCAGGCATCCTGATGTAATAGTGTTTTATTTATAGGATAGTGAAAATTAGACTAATATGAACCATATTACTAGGAAGTTTTCTTCTTTATTGCAATCTAGATAGTGTAATTTTCATTTATAATTGGATCTCTTTTCAACTATAGGTCTTTCTTTTTCCTTAGCATTTTATTGCAGCCTTCTTTTTTATCTTTGTTTCCTGCTCTTGTGAATGTGTCATTGCATACATAAGCAATTTAATCTTAAGTACATAGTGTTTGCCTTTACTAGATATGAATGCTTGAATTTATAACATGCTTTGTACTCTTCACTGCCTTAGAATTAGGAACAAAAAGCTGGTCTTGTAGTTCCCATCATTGTCTTTCTATCTGTATGCAGCAGGTTACCTGAATTTAAATGTTTAAACTCCTGTCCCTTCAGGCAGGTAATCTCCAGACACATTTACGTCGACATTCTGGTGAAAAGCCATACATTTGTGAAATCTGTGGGAAAAGGTGAGAAGAATTGTTAATTTTAGTAAAGTTAACATGATAAAACTTGCTCACGCGTTCTTTAATCTTCATGAGGAAGAGCCAAGAGCTAAAGCAGCATGCAACTTGCTTTTGTTTAAAAGACAACAGGTTTAAATGTGTCCTGATTGGATTAAAATACATAGATGTCTGCAAGTGTCTTGTTGCAAATCTCAATAATAAGATGTTACCACATACATAGTGTGGTCATAATTAATTTTTTGTTTATTGCTATCTTTAGGTCAGGAAATACTGTTGCATGTATTTTGAAAAGCGTGAGTCACAATAAATTGTGCAGTTTTGTACCTTTCCCTAATTTTTTTCATTATTTTGTCATATAATTTTAGTAACACTTTATAGAAATTATGAAATACGGGGAACGTGATGAATTTAAGCAAAGCATTACATATTTCAGTCTTCAGCTAACAGGTGATAGAAAATACACTCATTTAGGATTAGCATTTGTATTTAAACTAAGTTAAATGCAGAATAAATTAGTAGCAGCAATGATGAAAGGGTTTTTGGTTTTTTCTAGTGCAAATTTAATTGGTCATTGCCAGCTTCAAAATGTTTTTCTTACATGCATCCATTTAGGCATGTTTTAGATTTTAATCTTTTTTCAGAGCATCAGGCATTTGTTACAACTGATTTCCACAAGCTACTCAGTTTAGGAGAATAAGGGGCTTATAAATTATTATGGTGATTGCATTTCCATGTTCTGTTACAGATTTGCTGCTTCTGGTGATGTTCAGCGTCATATTATTATTCATTCTGGAGAAAAGCCTCATCTGTGTGATATCTGTGGCAGAGGTATGCAAGATCCCACGTTTCTGCCTCTGAGGTTTTTTGATTAAAACGTGTCATTTTAAGCTTGGCATGTCTCATATTTTTCTAGGATTCAGTAACTTTAGTAATTTGAAGGAGCACAAAAAGACCCATACTGCAGATAAAGTCTTCACCTGTGATGAATGTGGGAAGTCATTCAACATGCAGCGAAAATTAGTAAAACACAGAATCAGGCATACTGGAGAGAGACCATACAGCTGTTCAGCCTGTGGTAAGATTTACTGTGCACAGCTTTTTTTATGTCTTTGCTTTTAAATTATAAGTAAAAGTTCCTATTTCAACAGAATAACAATCAACCAAAATTAATTAAAATTGAAATACCATGTTGTGAAGGCTTTTTCACAGAATCTTCTGTCTTGCATTTAGTGTATTAAACTCCTTTAGCTGTTGTAAATAAGCTCAAAACTGAATTTCAGTTGAAGAATAGAGAGTGGAAATAAGAGGAATCAACATTAGATGTGTACATGTTTGCTAGAGAAGTACTGATAGTACTGCTTCAAAAATTGATATATTTTTAGTATAGTCCTTAGTCCTTTTTGAAGGCAGACTAGATTTGGTGTCATGTGGCTATTGATGGAATTTTTTTCTTTTTTCCAATTGAATGAATGCTATTGGAATTTAACTACATTCAACCACAGAGTCAATAAAAATCTTTTGCTACTTTGCTTCAACTTCTGGAATAAAATCAAAACTTGCTTCATACCAGAGAACACCTGTTTTCAAAATCTGCTAGATAGGTCATATTCCAGGTGGTCTGCAAATGGCTCTTTGATCAATGATTCATCCTTGTGTAACAGTTCTCAGAAGTTTGAATTGTCTATCCTTATTTCATATGTTACTTAGCAGCCTGCATACTACTTACTGTTCTGCTCTCAAGTGCTATTTTGTTATTTCATTCATGGCTTCCTCACAAGGGTAAGAGATGGGGCAGGTACTGATCTCTTCATTCCTGTGACCAATGACAGGGCTCAGGGAAATGGCAGGAAGCTTAATCAGGGGAGGTTTAGGTTAGATATCTGGGTTTTTCACCCAGAGGGTGGTCGAGCACTGGAACTGGTGACCACAGGGAAGTCATCACAGCACCAAGCCTGCCTGAGTTCGAGAAGCATTTGGATGATGCTCTGAGGCACATGGTATGATTCTTGTGGTGCCCTACACAAGGACAGGAGTTGGACTTGATGATTCTGATAGGTCCCTTCCAACTCAACATATTCTATGCTCTGAGGAATCAACTTTGGAGGAAGGTAGCTCCATATGATAATGTCCAACTGCAATATGTTTTAGTTGTAATGTCTTGAGGCACAAAAAAAAGCTAATATTTTCAGAAGGTCTTGCATCAGAGGGAGGAAATAGAGACATACAGGATATGAAAGTATAAACAAACTGTTGTGTTGGCTGATTTTCATTTTTTCTTGTAGTGGCCTTTTGATTATTTTTCACTTTTACCAGGTCATCATGTAGTGAGAGGGCAAAAATCGTGTGAAGATGATCTGATGAAGTGTTAAGAAATCACTTCTATTATGCAAAAAACCCACATATATTATTCTAGTCATTTGAAATCTTACTGTTTAACAGCTTTTCTGAAGAGAAATCTGGGCAGTAGAATGAAAAGTATGATGCCAAGAAATTGAGACTACTGTTTTACTGAGCTTTCAGCTAATCCAGGTCATTTTAGTTGGTATCTGTCCACTAAAATAGGCAAAATTACATAAAATCACAAATAGGTACCAGCTTATTTCTACTGTCCTAAAGAATATGAGGTGTCTGCATCATGTAGCGGTTCTGAAAATTCATGTTCTCTTGATCTGCTTCTTCTATACTTTGCCTTGGATCAGCCTCAAACACTTTTATCTTTGCAATGTGGTTGAGCTTAATGGAGCTGAAAACAGGCAAACTGTGGAGTATCTTATTGTATGCTAATATTTATAGGAATAAAAAAAATCACAGTTTTGGTACATTCTCTGGCTAGAATATAAGTAATGGACAGCTGCATTATGTTAGCTCAAAGTTAACCAAAACATTAACTTTGTCAGCACTTTAAGAATAGTTCCTTGGTAATGAACAAACCATTGCTTTCCATGATGCAGTTCTCACTGGAAAATGTATTCAGGTGTTTATCAGCACACTGTTTTCCAGACAGACAATTTATATTGATTCTTTTTACATTTTTTCCTCTATGGAGATGAATACAAACTGAGAGCACCTCCACCTTTCCTGTCTCTGGAGACAAAAACTAAAGCACTGGGAAACATAAGTTAGAAATTCAGCTCAAGAAGAAGAAACAGGTCATTGAACTATAGAAATAAATGGGACTTGTTCTAGAGAACAAAGTACCATGACTGACACATACCATACCTTATCACTTGATATTTTCTATAATTAAAGCAAGTTTATGCACTTCTGTTAAGAACACCATCATAATCTAATACTTTTGCCTTGTAGGGAAATGTTTTGCAGGCTCTGGTGACCTGCGTAGACATGTGAGGACTCACACAGGAGAAAAGCCCTATACCTGTGAAACTTGCAACAAATGCTTCACTCGCTCTGCTGTCCTGCGGCGGCACAAGAAAATGCATTGCAAAGCTACTGATGAAGGCCCCAACACACTAGATGAATTTACTCAAGGGATTGAAAGTTCTGACCTTGAAAGATCACAGAGTTCTGACTCTTTTGGCCAAGAAATGTCTGTTACCTTGTTACCAGTGTCTGTTAAATTTCCCATTCCTCCAACTGCAGATTCAACTGAATTTGAAAGTTCTGCGGATTCTTACTGTAAGTTGCGATCAATGATTCAACACCCTGACTCAGCAAACCACCAAAAACTGAATGTGGATTCTGCTAAGCTCCCAAAAGCTCAGACACAGCAAACTCCTCCACCACCATATGCTTATGCAGATGTAGAAGTGTCTTCTGCAGAAGAACCCTTGCAGTCTGATAATATCCCCATGATTCGCTCCTCTATGGTCAGCTTGGACAGTCACTGTAACGATCCACTAAGCAGTCGAACATCATCTGCTGCATACAAGAGTAATGAAGGACCATTCTTCTCCAGCATGACCCTCTGGGGTTTAGCTATGAAAACCTTGCAGAATGAAAGCGAGTTGGAACAATGAGGGTTCAGGTGACTGATCAAAACTTTTTAAAGGCATTTCATGCTCAAGTGATTGCCGTTGCACTGCAGCATAGAGAAATCACATCTAGTTTTTAAGACATCTAGCTTGGTTACTGGTAGAAATGAAGACACACGTGCTCAGAACACGGTGTAGGCTCCCTTTATACTGCTTCTCAGCAAGGTTCAAATCTAGTTTTGGAGACTGTTTTTGTTCTGTGTCTGCACTGTGTAGCTCACATGTTGCCATGATTTGCTGTTTGCTAAATTTACTATTTAACTTAGTATTTTTTACTTAATAATGGAGGGAAGGATGGCCCGATGCCTGATTTCATGATATGGGTTTGAGTCCAAGAATGGGTCATGAAAGTCATGTGAGGACTTAGTTGTAACATGAGGAAAATACTTAACAAATCCCTAGTGAACTTGAGTTTCGGTAGTGGCTTTCTTACTGGTAGGATCATTGGTTTACATGACTTGAGTATTGTGATATTAAATTTATATGTTAAATACTGGACAATATTTGTGATAGTGTGAAGTAACTGTATATCTAGAAATTTTATTTTTTTACATTAAAAGCTTTTTTTTTAGTATTTTATAAACTATTTTGCACAGCAGATTATTTGTACAATGAAGACAAAGATCAGGAAATGCAAATAAAAGGAAGTTGTTTCACATTACACCTTAATTTCTCAATGTGTTTCATCTCTTTATGAAAGATTTTTGGCAATTTATTTCCATCTGTTCCAGGTACCTTTACAGTGCTAATGAAGATACCACCACAAGAAGAGTTACAGTATAAAATAAGTGCAATCCATACATATGTAGATTGTCTTGCATCTCAGTGCATTTAATTGGTGTAAAACATTGGCTAATTAATGGAATGAATAGAATGTTACAGGTTAGAAACTTTGCTTAGAGGCCTTTTTCTGCTTTTCTGCTTTGAATGGTTGCATTAATTTTCAGTATAGATCTGTTGCTGCATTTCAAACTGCTTGCTACAGTCACGTGAGTTTTACTGGTCCATCTTTTCCCACCCCATCAAAAAGTTTTAGCAGTGTGTTGTCAAACCTTATGCTAAAACATTCCTTCAGTACTGTAGTTTCTGAAAAGAAAATACCCTTGTACTAACCTAAACTTCTTTCACAGGCTGCAAAGTTTGTTTGAAGTACATACTTCTTATTTCCTATATGGCACAGAAGCAGATTTCAGTGTTCTGCAACAGCTAAAAAGGTCTGGTATCACTGCTGTTTTAATAATGCTGGAGTTCCTCTGCTGAAAAAATCACATTTATGTAAAGCTGATAGCTGGAACTGTCTAGTCATTAATATGTAATGTCACATTTTCCTGGTATTTTAAAATACATGGACACTTGTATCCCACTAAAGCACAAAGATTCAAATCTATTACGATTGTCTAGTTCTTGAGTTTTGCTAGAATAGGAATGTAGACCACAGGTCACTTACAGCCCACTGCTTGCATTCTGTGGAAGGTTAGAGCCTGGAAAATACAGGTTTTTTTTATATTTTTAAAGTGCTCTCCAAATCCACCCCCCTTCCCCAAATTCACAAGTAGCTGTTCAGTTTCTTACTGTGTTGACAACATGTACTACATTTTATGCATTACAATTTATGTCTTCCTTTCCCTTAGTAGGGCCCTGTACCTTCTTGTTCTTAACTGCTGTCAACCTGAGTTGAAATGAGAAATGTAATATTGCTGGCCAGAGCACAGCACTCCTTAAAACAAAAGGGACAGAACATTCTGCAGTATATGTAAGTCTTGAAAGAGAAACATTTCTCTCAACTGTCATTTAATCTTATGAAAAACTTCTTTTTACTACATTAACAGACCAAATTTTAAAAAATCCAGATGCACTGGAGAACAAATTGGGAATTGTTTTCACCCTTTTCTGGTAGTGCACATATACTAGGAAACTGTAAAACATCTGTATTTATCCAGCCAGTGAAGTAAAAACAAAGAAGCTTTTGCAGTGCCTAATTTTAAAAATAGCACGTAAACCAACAGAACAGAGTCCCGCATAGGATTAAGCAAGAAGCACTTTGTATATTTGAACCTTTAGGTCTTCTCTCATTCATTTTCTTTTACACTATTTGCTGGTGAATGCTGCAGACCTTTGTGGAAGTCATCCACATGCTGTTCAACAATCCATGTCTTATGGCTCTGTCCCTGACCACTTGTGCTCATGCTCTCTACTTTCCTTGCTCTCGTGCCTCAGGCAAAATGTGGGTATCTAACAGGATCAAGCTCTGTAGCTTTCCCCTTGTCAGAAACTATTATTAGATTGACTTATCCCAAGAGAAAACAGAAATTTGATTCTGTGCCTACAAGGATTCAGTTGCTTGGAAAGGGCAAATCTGCAATTTGTGAGCCTCCTGACTTCTTAGTTGCCTCTAGTTCTGTAATGATTTTGGTTTCTCTGCTGTATTTTGATGGAGTCAGTACAGGATAGATTTATAACAGTGTTGCAATGTTTTTGCTCTTCTAACAGTATTGGAGGTCTGTATGCTTTGTTTTGGAGGAGTGTTATTGCTAAACACTGTCTTAAAGTGAAAATGGCATCCTGGGATGCTTGTAAGTATGTAGATTGGATTGCTGGGTATCAAGTGCTTTGTGCCAAGAGGGCAGCTGTGTTGCACAAAAGATAATTTCTCTTACTTGACAGTATTTCTTTCTGTGAGAGTGTTTCACACCAAAACCCTGGAGGTTTCCAGACCTGCTACCAGATAGTGAATACTTTTTGCAGTTTGGGGAGTTTGATAAAACACCATGTTGCAATGTGGCATCTATGAGAAGGAAGTAGAGAAAACAGTTAGGAGGAAGCAGTCCATCTGAGTTTGTGCAGCTCAAACCAGGAAAAGCAGAAGTTGCAGCACTGGGCAGGAGCATTAAGAACTTTTATTTCTATCTGACTTGAATAAAAAGCTGAGCAAGAGAGGAAATTCAAAGAATGAGTTGATAGAGTCAGGTGGAAGATGATTAATTTTTATGTATGGAATAAGATGTTTTGGATTAAGGAGTCCCATCCCTGAAGCCACTTTGCAGTGTGAATATCACTGCCTGTCTGCAAGATGTGTTTTGTGTTTCCAAAATCAAACATAGTATGTTATGTCAATTTAGTACTGTATAGTGTTTTTCTCAGTGAGACCTCTGTAGAAAATTACCTTGAAAGAGGATCTTTTTCTGTATCCTAATAATTTCCTATGCCAACCCATGGGTTTGTAATGAGGAGGATGCCTGAGGGAATAGCAAATATGATCTGATAGTCCTAATGCTGCCACAAAGTTGGCACAGTTGTAGAACAGAAGCTTTTTTTTTTTTTTTTTTCAAATGACTTTGAAGAACAGGTGAAAACCGTGACGTGATCATTGAGCCTGTAGTATCTCACAAGCAGCAGACACCCAGCCAGGGCTGTTGCTCATAAATATCCACAGCCAGTATGCTGAGGGGTATGAATAAGCATCAGTCAGTTGGCTAGTAGCAGGCACTGCTTAAGTGCCATTATGATCAATGTAAATGGCATGCTATTAAAAAAAAAAAAAAAAGTGTTTTTTTTTTTGAAAAAGGATGTTAACCTGGTGTAATAAAATCAAAGGACTGCTGATTGTTATTTATTGGAATCACTATCCTGCTGCTCAGAGCTACTGTTCAGCTCATCTTGCAAACTGAAGTCGGTTTTGTTTCTAGAAGATGCAGGTGACTGCTCAGGGCTTAGTTTGATGTTGTTCAGTGTGGAGATACCTCTGTCATATGACTCCTGCACAATATAAGAACAAAAAAAAAATAGTACTGTTTAAACTTTTGAAACCATTACTGTGTTTTTTGGATATAAAAAAAAATAACCAGCCATTGTTCTGTGGGTATATTTTCTGTGTGTACATAGATGATAAGATGATATATCTTATAGTTAAGTCAAATACCTTCCCATAAAAAAAAAAAATCTTGTGCTTGAGACTTACAATCTAGTTCAGTCAGTGCTGGAAATTAGTTGTATAAGGAAGGAGAACTTCACTAGAAAGGACTTGGTATTTGTTTATTACCTCCGAGAATTTATCTGTGTTCTCTTGTACTCTTTTTAAAACTGGCCCATGAGAAGTTTTACAGTTTCTTGGATTCAGAGATTAGGGTTTAGAACAGAGCAGTGGAGCTTTGTTTCCATGGCTTCTTCAGCAAATCCAAATAGGCTTAAACTCCTGTTGATAATTTTATAGGGAAGTAATTGCTACACATGGAGTCTTCCCAAAACATTTAAGTGGCATATACAAGAGCAGGCCAAATTTAAGACAAAATCAGTGTGAAGCAAGTGGAACTGGCCCCATAGGCCATTTGCTTCTGGAATCCACTTTTTTTATTCCTTTCATTGTCTTTCCCACTGTGGGTAGCTCCATTCATACATGGACAGCTGCATTCAATTCTTGCTACTCACTTCATGCCACTTACCCACCCCTCATAATCCAGACCAGAGGTTAATGTATTCAAGCTCAGGGAGGAAAAATGTTGAGGCATATAGGTAAACACAGTGCCCATAATTGTAAAACTATAAAAATCTGCAGTCTGCATGTTCTGTGATGTGTGCTGGGATTTTGGGTATTTAGCTTTCTTGCTATATAACTTGTTTGAGAAGTAATATGTGTAACAAACATGACAAGAAACATAAATGGCCCTGCTTATATAGAAGACTTAATGGAAAGCAAGCAAACATGAGCTTTATAGGCAGATTTGAAGGAGGAAAATGAGATGGCTTGGGAAATGCATTCTGATGACGACTGAAGAGCCTTAGATGCAGCTATTTTGTAATTCAGTATGCTAATGACTTCAAAGTGACCTGTGCTGCAAATAGATTTCTTTGCATTTGTACACAGAGGCTTGTGCTTTCTGGTCCACAGTCTTATTCATTAATCCTTACTGACATCTATTATTGAATTTGTCGTCTCTAAACAGTTGGTTTCCACCTCTGTTATTAAATCTCCATCCCAGCAAACAGATAAATAGATACCTTTAAAACACAGCCTAGTGAA